ACATATTTTTTCAACCTTCCATAGCTAACCTCTCCTAGCTATGCGGACGCGGGGAATCATCGAACAAGCCTCGGTTTTTCCTCCATATCGTGCAGATTAAATGCCCTAAGGAGATCTCCACATTATTCAGGGGAAGCCCACATCAGGGGTATTGTAAGGTCTTTAGCGATTACTGTCAGGTTTGGGGAAATGATTTATAGAATATTTGTATGGTCTTTCCACTTTAAAAACTATTTTATTTTGTCTACAGGACTCGAGAGAGCAGCAGAAATCAAACCTAAAAACGAAAACTCAAAAGCGTTATTTTCATTGTTATTTCTTTGAGTGCACCCTACTCTAAAAGATAGTTTGACAGCTAAAAATAGTGGTGTTTCGTCAAGAACACCCACAGTGAGACCAAAAACCTTGATTAATACACCCCTAAACAACATGAAGAGCATCCCCAACCTTTCTTTTCATATGGGAGACCCCCCCCCCAGATGACAGTGTAGCAGTCGTGACTGCACAAAATTCAGCAGTCCATATGTTTCCTGTGTGTTGGACTATTCAATGAATAATTGCACACAATTATTACTAGAATCACTTTGCCGCATGTCCCAGTTGTATCAGCAAAACTGCTTGAAATGAAGAGACTAATATAAGTATCTTTTACAACTAAGGAGCCCATTTGCTAAATCTCTGCTCAAGCACACACAAAACCAATCTTGTTCTCAGGACCCTGGGAACGAGGTTGGATTGAAACTGATTTGCACACAGTATCACCATGCCTCAAACAGGTAGTGACAGAGTTGAAATAAAAAAGGACCTCAGTCTGTACTTACAAGCTGGTGAGTAAAAGCAACCATCACCACAATCAATATTTTTATTACCTTGCCAATAGCGTGTGTTTGGTAGTCTTGCTCTTTCAGATATTGAGGCAGAAATACTTCATCAAGACCAACTCCAAAAGGTAGAGCAGCAGAAATCACCCGATGTTGCATACCTAAATAAAAACAAAACAAGCAGATGTAGAACACAATCTGGTTTTACCAGGAATTGTTTATGCAGAAAGAGGTACTTGCAATTGCCTCAGCTGCAGACAACATGAGTCAGTAGTGCCTTAAAATCTCTTCATGTATGTTCTTTATTAAGTGCAAAAATTGTAGAGACCTTTTTTTTCTCTGTTTACCACAATTAATGTGCTTTTCACACATGCGGGCAGGGGCGGGGGAGGGGGGGGGAGGGAGGGTGAGATTCATGGCAAATTAAGTTGAGTTCCATCAACGTCTTACTGAAACATTTAAATGGTTATTATGGGGTATACAAGATAATATC